TTGAAAACCTGCAACTGAAAACAGCATCTCGGTATCAGTTGAAGAAACCACCAAAACGGTAGACAACAAGCATCTCTTTTTATTTGGGCAAAGCATGGGAATAAATGAGCAAAAGATCACACACAAATTATAAAGTTATTATAGTAATGGACAACCAAACATCAACTTACCAACAAAAATAAAATTATTACAAAATTGGGCTCAAATCTGAGGAATCTACCAGAATATTATCATGGAAAATCTAGTTAAATAACGAGGCAAAAGATCATATATCATGTTGCTAAAGTACAAAGCTTTAAAACCCCACATGAAGAAATAAGCAAAGAATCTCAAGGGGCATAAAGAAATAGGGAAATAATCAAAAGGAAAGACCCCCCAAAATCCACTCTCCGTGTAAAACCCCACAAAAACCATGACCCCATTTCATCAAATCTACAGAGCTATACAAAAACTACCAACAAATATCACCCACTTGCAATTTGAAAACAGAAAAAAACCCAGTTCATGTTTGAGTGCAATCAGCCAACACCAAGCCTAAAAACCCCAAAAGAAAAACCAGAACCACAGAAAGTGGAGATAGAGAGGGACTCACCCAAAATCTTACACCATCTATTCAAGTTTTTTGCTTGAGGAATCAGGAGGAGATTTCAGCGCTCAGAGGAACAGTAACAAGAGACCAAAGGGAGAGGCTTTTGTATGGTGCTGCTGCTGCTGCAGCACAAGCATTCAATTCTTGAGAACCAAACCCACCACCAAACAAACTTCCACGCAAGTCAGGAAAACAAGAACCAAAAGGGCAACAAAAAAAAAAAACAAAAAAACACGAAACTCAAAAGCACCCAGCTGTTTAGTACCACTGAGTTCCAAAATCTAAAGTTTCCCCGTCTCCCAAAATACTGAAATAAAACTACCCAAGTGCGAAAAAAGCAAACTTGATAATACCAAATGCATGATTCAGTCCTCAGAAATACTACCACTTTTCCCTTTAGCACGCAGAAAATGTTTTTCCTTTTCCCATTCTTTTCAGTTTTGCCCTACTTTAATTTTGGTGAGAAAAGAAAGTAGAGAGAGATTCATTGAGTTTTTGGGGGTTGCATAATTAACACACTCACTCACCTTGCTCGCTCACTCACCACCTTGCACAGTAAAGCACGCCAAAACTGACAACTCTCTCTGCTTTTTTTGCTGCCCCCATAACGCGGACTCCTCTTTATTAAATGACCCTTGCGCCCTAAAACTAATCCCGCAATGGCCATAACTTGCGTAGTGGATGTGTGTGGTCTATCACGGTGTATCCGTACCATACAATTTTCTTTATGTGTTCATGTCTATATCATACAATTTCTTTTGTTTATCATGCGTTCGTGTTCATGGTGAATGTGATGGTGATTGCATTAGAAATTCAATGGTCATGTTCTAAAGGTGGCTTGTTACATGTCACCATTTAATTTGGCTAAACTTTAAGTTGCCAGACAACTAAAAATGGATGTCTTTTAATTAAATGGAAATAAATTTTCACACTTTACCAAAAAATACAGAATGACATTCTAAGATTCATATCGCTGACTCCACTTAATTAATAGGAAAAGGTTTTGTTGTTGTACCAAAAAAATGAGAATGGATTATACTTATCTTGCTAATTGGAAATTAATTATACACTTAGCTTGTTATTGAAGTTCTCAATTCCAAAGGGGTGCATTGCACATACAAGTTAAGTAAATGACAAGTTTGTCCTGCAATGCGAACAATATCAAAGTTTTGGAAAACTGGTGTGGTGTGAGCTAAAGAGCCTCTAATGGATTGGTGAATGAAAGCTTAAGAAGAAATATGAGTTCCAGAGAACTTATGTATGATTTATAGGTTATTTGTATGTACCTTTAATAATGATTGGGCTTGGTTTCTTATTTTGTTTTTAGTTAATTCGTTGAATTCGGTACAATTATTCAAAATTTTATTGAAAGATTAGATTTATTATCTCATGTTTGCTTTTCATGAAAAAATACCAAATTGGAAGTGAAGTGTTTCTTCAAACAATAAGGAGTTGGATCAAATATTTAATTAAATTAAATAAAGGGTGGTGCTATTCACAAATCCTTTATTATATTTCACACTCCTCTATTAATTTTTCTCATTTAGTCTTTTTCAATTCATTCGATCTAATGGTCAGAACTTAAGAGGGTGTGTGGAAGTTAAAAAAGAGATGTGGGGATATCACCACGCTAAATGAAATTGAGCATGTTTCCCATCTCTTCTTGAGAAACAAGTAGGCTATGCAAAATTGTGCTCAAATCCATATGCGACAATTCCGCCAAAATCTCTTCTTTAGTTGGGAGAAAAATCCGAACAAATCGGATTTCTTCAAGAACATATTGAGAGAGAATTTGTGAGACAATGTGTGATCGTTAAATCGGTTTTTAGCAATGGACGACAAATTTCATGTCATTGTTCAACATTGTGTAAAAAATTATCAAAATGTGCGAATTTTTTATCTTCAATTATGTTTGTTATGTAAACAAAAATTGAGAATTTATGAGAAAATTACTAATAGTTTTCAAGTCATTGTTGGATAGTGACCTTGAGACTGAAAAATTTTATTGCTCGGTTGGAGAACTGGATAGGAAGTTTTTCAAGTCATTGTTGGACAGTGACCTTAAGACTAAAAAATTTTATTGCTCGGTTGGAGAGCGTGATAGGATTGAGTAGCAATCATATAATCATTTTGAATTACAATAGTAGTGTCACATCCCGGCCCGGGCCTAGTGTAAATTAGCTAGCTTGGTTCTTAGTTATTCACATTTCTTTATATCATTATCATTTCCGCACAACGCACATGGCTACGTCACCCTCACATGACGGCCAGCACGCCTTGATTTCCGTCGAGATGTGTCAAGTAGTTATTCTTTTGATTGACTTTTTTATTTGTACCTAAACTAAACATATTTTAGATAATTTAGTTTAGCTAAAAGTTTTTGTAGAGTTGATATTTAAATGAAAAAAAAATTCAATTTAATAGAAAATTCTAGGGATATCATATTTTTAGACTATATATTGTAGATCACATGGTATGGTGGCTGGTGGTTGGATTCGTTCTGTAATGATTTAAAGAAAAAAAAAATCCAACAATCAACTGCAACATCATGTGGTTTACAAGTTACGGTTCAAGTATGGTCTCTCCCAAATTTAAAATGAGTAATGATAGGGAAACCACATATTTATATACCACATAATATGGCAAGTGATATGTACAAGTCATGTTTATTAATCAATTTATCATATTGGATAGTGATAGAAATTCATTAATTGATGTGACATGTATTATACAAATGTAGTCTCCCTAACATTTTTTATGTAAAATACAAAAACTTTATAAAAAAAAATTATGATAAAAATTAAACTTTTATGTGGGAAATGGAGATCCAAATTAATTTGGGGACTGTTACAAGCAAGTAAGAGAAATACCAATTGATCACTAGGAAAATTTATATTTTTGGATTTGTATGATGTTAATTATATAGAATTTCCATCTCTTGAGGAATTATTCTACCATCCCACTTGTATTTTAATATTTCTTTTGGGGTCTTGAATAGTGTGTTTCATTTGTATACATGTTCACGCAGGTGCTGCCAACTGAGTTCCATGTGAGCAAAAGATTAAAGGAATCAACTCAGTCTCTGATAGGTTTCACGCCAAGGCCATATTCAATGAAACTACGGACGTATATAAGATAGATTGAACATAAATACATCTTCTATGCGGCCGTAATGTATAGTTTGATCTAAGTAGAGTAATGTGATGTTCTACCATCAAACTTATATCGTCATACAAATTTTTATATCATGATATTGTAATCTGAGTCATCAATGTTTGTGTTAAAAATAATGTTATCAGAAAGTAATGTCATATCTTCTTTTTCATATATCATGAGAAGAATATTATATTGTAAGCTGTGTATTTAATTACAGCTTCAGACAAAAAATCAATCAAAAAATTGTGTGTATAAAAATGTATATAACAAATCCTAGCACAATTAGCAGATACATTTAGCTGGTATTTGGCAATCTGTATGATCTTTTGGCCGTCAATATTTAAGGAATCACATTACCATGTGAAGAAACTAAGAATTTCTATTAGAAAGTGATATATTTACACCGACGATCCTCATCCTTTTACAAATGGTGTTTTTGAGGAAATGATACAACAGAAGATGTCCATGCCCACAGTGTTCTTTATTGGATATTAGCCAAAAGTAAAGGTAAGAGCAATACATGCATGCATGTGTGAAAAGTAAGGATATCGCGACGGAAATGACTAAAAAGGGCAGACTTGAAATACTAAGATGACAGAAATTAAGATTGCTCAAGAATTGGTATGAACAGATACCACATGGATCACTATATGGATGTAAAAAAAATATTGAGAAAATACTATCTTTTTTTCTTGATATACAAGCAATATTAGTGGATGGAAGAATCAAATACATGACTTTGAGTACAAGCCTCTTAAACTACATACTCCTTACAAGAATTAGTTAGGGCAAGTTTGGAATTGTTTGTAGAAGGGCAAGAACAAAAAAAACACTTTCTAATATCCAAAACACTTTGATTGTGTTTGGCAGAAAAATTTAAAGGCATTTATGACCCAAAAAAGTGCGTTGAGGGATATTGTTTTTTCAAGAAGCACTTGAATTTCAATAAAACATCAACGTGTTTATAATAAAGCATTTCTGTCACTGTTTGTGAGCATAAATACTTTTAAGATAAACAATCGCAAATGAACTTGTAGCTAATTAAACATAACTTATCAATTAGAATTTTAATTGGTTGTAGTTGAGCCATGTATTAACCAATTCAATATCACTATGGTATTGACACACCTCGACCGGAGTCGAGGCGTGCTGGCCGTCACATGAAAGTGACGTAGCCAAGAGTGCAAAAGAAGTAATTAAAAATGTGAACAAATTAAAACCAAAATTAAACTTATTTAAACTAGGAATAAGTGAGTATGTAGAAGTGGTCAAACCCATATTATAAATGTTCAGAGCATAGATAACATAAAGGTGCAGTCGAACTGATTAAGTACTAAATATACAACCACAGAGAAAATATCCCTACATAATTTGATGGAGTGTCAGAACCGCCGGGTAATCCTCATGTGCCACAAAGGAAAACAACCATCTAGGACCTGGAGGGGCAAAAAACAAAAGGGTGAGTGGGCAAAAACAAAGCTTAAGAAAACACATTTCTCTTTTCTGAAAGTAATAACCCCTTATTGTAAAACCCGTATAATTTCCAGAAAATAATACTACAAAAGTACGAAAATGAATGCATGAGTGCAGTGAAAGCAGAAGCATGCCATGCCACAATATCTCAGCAAATACTAAGTGTAAGCCAGGCATGAAAGCAGTCTAAACTAGCATGCCTGTCGGAGTCACCTAATGTGACCTATATGACTGGACTTATTGCCCATCAATCTATGCTTGTACACGAGTCGGAGTCACTTAGTGTGACCTGTATGATAGGGCTAGGTGTAAATATGTACGCTCTAGTGCTACGATCACGTGATAGCTAGCGATAATCGTGGGTCACCTACAAGTCGAAACTGTCTAATGCAGTCTGTACGACAGGGCTGGCACCAAACTTGGATCTAAGGTGAACATGTGATGCGAGGGGTGAACATCACGTGAAGGATTGTGTCCTAGCCCAAGGCGGAAGCACTAACACCAAGGTACAACAATGATGAACTCTAAATGAATATATGCATGCTTAATCAATACAACCATTTCAATCCCATAATAACTCACCTGAACTTACCTGTGCCTCCGTAGGATCATTTGGCATGATCACAAATCTCATCACAATGCAATATTTAAGTATAACACATTTAATTCATGGCATCCTATGCATAATCAATTTAAAACATTTCTGAAAACCTCAAGGTGTGTGTGTGTGTATATAAAAACAAATGCCCACTCACTGATATGTTAAAGGATCGTAGCCCCCCTAGCCTCGCTTGTCTGCGCTCGTCCTCGGGGTAAATCTCTCTCTCTCTCTCTCTCTCCCTCTCTTATACCCTTATATCCTTTCTACCTCAGTATATATAAATAAAATACACATGGTGCAGACTGTTGTATCGTTACAAATACTATATGCTGCATAAAAATTAAACCAAAAAAAATCTCTTCTGAAATAAAAACTAGGGTTCCTTACAGAATACTTGATTCCTTCTACTTTAAGCTGGTTAATGGAATATCATTTCTCAAAGGTTATGGGGGTTTGAATTTGCAGAAAGTCACCGTGTGGTGGGGGTTCTTCGATAAGGATTTGTCAACAGCTTGTCGTCACGCGGATGGTTTGGAATGGTCCTACGTGCATTGCCTAATGTTACAAGCATTATCAGAATCTATAAAGAATATGTTTATATCATATCACAAAGCTTGTGGTCATATACTATAGTTTAAGGAACTCGGGTCCCCTAGCTCTTTTGATTGCCTACTTTGACCTAGAACATGAATTGGGTAGTTGTTTGATATGCTTGTCTCCCTCATTTGCATATATGCTTTTGATATGGCAAAAGATTACTTCCCGCGATTTGTGTGGAGAGGAGAGACCCCTTATACATTCAATAAATCATCATAGCATGGTCTTCTAGAGATGCCTATTGTCCATATACTAATGGAAAGGAACCTTGCTATAATATCAACGTGAAATTGATAATCGTTGATTGATGAACGCATATGTGATTTTCAATCACTCATGCACGAATATCATGTAGTCATCTTGAGCAATTGATGGTCGTGGATATGTGTATATCAAACATTTTATAGGACCTACATTAACCTAAATAATCATCATTACTTATGTAAGCATGAGCTATTAATGGGAATAAGTGAAAATCATTGATCTGTTTATTAAATCTTTTGTGTATTAAATCTATTTTAAAGCTCACATTAATCAACGACTGTTATCGATTCATGTACAGTAGGATATCAATAAATAAATAAAAATAAAAAAACTGACTAATCAATGATTGTTACTTACATGGACCGGTTATTCACACACATGTAAATGATATCCATGACAACGAAATCTATATATCAGAGCCAACCTCAGAGGGACAATATAGCAAGTACTGAAGATGGAGGATTTTTATATATGCCTAAAGTTGAAGATATGCATACAGATTGCAATCGTATTAGCATATCTGGCTACTTGTACTTTTGTCTTTGGACCTAATTAAATGGTGATCACATTTACAACTCACCAATATAATGTCCCATTTGTGGCAAATCTGGATGCACTGCTATCGGTAGTCTTAACACGGTGCACATGACCACCATGCAATGCCGAGTATTTTCTGTCTAATTAAGTAAAAATTGATTTGAAAGATTACTACTGCATTTCCTTAATCACGTCCAAGTTTTGGCATTTAAACAAAATCCTAATCATGACAGCCATTGGGTTTTTATGCGTCGGCACACAATCAATCGAAGGATAGCATGCGTCATAGTTGAAGAAGACTGTCACTGGATTATCTAATTAGTCCTAATTATGCTACGTACATATAACTTTAATTTATAAATATCAAGCTTGAAGAAATGAATCAGAAACATGGTCAGGACCACAACTGTGGTAGCTTAAGCATCTTTCCCATGTTTCCGCGTGATTTACGAATAGGAAAAATGAAGCTAATTAATAAGGGCCAACCTATTAAAAAGTAAGGAAAAGTACAAATGCAGAACCAAATTCTTAATTTAAGATGTGATTAGTTCCTAGTTTTCAAGTTTAATTAAGCAGTACTGTAGTCGGAGGAAAGCTAATTAGTTATGTTAGTAAAACAACTTGGCACCTAATGGGAGTTAGTTTATAGGCTAATTAGGTTTTGAGGCAAAACAATTAGGCACCCAATGGGAATTAGTTTATAGGCTTATTTGGTTAATATGGGCGGAAATACTAGGAATCCAACGGGAATTAGTTTATGCTCTTAATAATTAAATTCTCCATCCAACCACTCCAAGACACTACTACATAAAATAGTTATCGCGACAAGCAATAAATCGTCGAGTAAATAAGAAATTCGCCGCCTAAAATTATATACGACGAAAACTTCGTCGTCCCAAGTTGGTCGCACAAGGCTCATAAAGGAAGGTATTGCGCAACGAAAAGAAACACTTCGTTGCACAAACAGTACACGACGAAAAACTACATCGTCGCTTCAAATTAATAGGCGCAAAGGCAATTCGTCATATATACCTGTGAGCACGATGAAACTAAACTCATCACATGAAGATTAGATGGACAAAAGGTTTCGTGGTGCAAGGCGGAAACGACGAAGAAATTCTTCGTCGCATAAAGTTTTAAGGGACAAAGGTTTCTTACGCAACGAAGTATGAGGTCATCGTGTAAAACAAATAGGGACGAAGATTATTCAACGCATATCTGTATTCGCGACAAAATAGGACCGGTCACATATAGATTAGAGGGACAAAGGGTTTTGTGCTGCAAGAACAGAGTGACGAAGAGATCCATCATCGCAACGATGAATTATTGCGTCGCACAAACCCCTTTTTTTTTTCTTTTTTTTTTTGAAATTGTTTATAATCTAAATTTCAAAACAAAATAATTTTGTTTGGTTAAATTTAATTGAGAATAGAAATTGATGAAGAAGAATATTAATTTAATGTGCAAATGTGGAAAATTTTTAAATGTGCAAATGTTTAATAAAAAAAAACTACAATAAAAATTCATCAGATTCAACTTCTACAATCGGCTGTGTTGGGTTGGGGCCTGGGTGTTCGAAGTAGTAGGAGGAGGTGTAGCGGCGAGGATGTTGAAGCCGGACAGTTGAAACACAGCGATGATCTGGGCCATCTTAGACTCTTGGGCAGCAATATGAGCTTCTTGGGTGGCGATGTGGGTAGACTGCGTCGCAATGTGCTTATGTTGGACTTCCACCTGCTGCTCGAGTTCCCCTACTTTCTTCGTCAATGATGCGACTTGTCCCAAGGTAGAGGTGGAAGAAGAGGCTCCCATCTCACGATGGCGGGCATTTCCCATACCCCGATACACCTTCTCCAGCCTAAGACCGAGTCTCTGGTCAAAGGTGTCCTTCATGATACGGAGACCTGTATCCTCAAAGAGGGGTACCTCCTCCATCGGGGTGTCAGGGGTAAGCTGGGAAGCCACTTCCTCAAGGACAACCTGGCTCCTCTCCATCATAGTAGCCTATGAATAAGAATTATAAATTTAAAAATTACAAAAACTTATGTGGAGCCCCTTTGTGAACTCATCCCCAGGCTGCACGTACATTTCCTTGAACGTGCTAATCTACGTAAACTTCGACCTCGCCTGCACTAAAAAATAATAAAAATTAGTTATAAGTTGTGTAATTTAGAGTATCGTACGCCCCTCTGTGATCAATCCTCTGAACAACTTTCCATCCCTTCACGGTCTTTGGATCATCGATGTTGAAAATTTGCTTGGCCATAATTGCAAGAATGTACGGGGTCTTCACTATACCAACATCGGGTAATGGTTCACCGAAAGTAAACCATCGTCCCGTTTAACACTCACATTCCTACTAGGATTTGTATCGAACCAATGACACTTAAAATGATGACTTGGCAACGGTCTTTGTAAAGCAATTGGACCACACTTGTTAGTTTGTCATAGAATCAATGTTTGCAATATCTCCCACTCTTGGGACATGTACACCGCTATTTTGAGTACAAAGCTTGTCATCACGGGCAGCTCCCAAGAATTTTATGCCATTCATATGACACCTTGAGTACAGTTCCACGCTTAGAGGTTTGATAGCCAAGTTGTATAATTCATTAGTATACGCGGGAGAATTGGTTTCCTTCAGTTTTTTCACCAAATTTATACCAAAAATTTGACATGTTGGTTCTACCAAAATTTAAGTCAACTGACATGCAATTATATTTTAGGACAAAACCAACAAAAAAAAATTTAAACAACTTACTTATTTGCGAAACCAATGAGGAAACAAGCCACGGTGCTTCCCAACATATAAATGCAAAGGATGTTCCCACTTCAAAAACTCTTCATGCTCATCTAGGTACTCAATTATATTGTCCCAATTGTTAAATACGAATTAATGAGCTACTTGCATGTCCTTTTTGGTGAATGAATCGCCTTATACTAGTTTGCCAATGATTGTGCGATTTGGGCAAACACAAATAATTTTTGCCTTCTCACACCACCATCATTATTACGATGTGGTCGATTGAACACCATCTCAACATCTTGTAAGTACATAGGACAAAATGTATTCGTCTCAAATGCCACCTAAGCTTCCACAATTGATCCTTCGGGCTTCGCCGTGTTCCTTACACTCATCTTTAACTCACCCAGTAATCTGCAAAAATGAAATTGTGATGATTCGAATAAGTTAAATCGTCAATTGATCACAAATTAATTAATGACTAAGGACTTTATACCTTTTAATTAGATACATTCATAGATAGTTGACAAGTTCGACAAGTAATGTCTCATGTGACAAGTGAATCATTATGTGGATCATGCTTGTGAAGAAAGAAGGAGGAAATATTTGTTCAAACTTACATAGGACTTCGACAATGTTAGTGCGTAACTGTTGTACATCAGACTTTTTCAACGTCCTATCAGATAATTGAGAAAAAAAATCTCGCTAACAATAAAATTGGCTTCACCACATCTTCTGGCATTAGGTGTCAAATACCAATCAGGAGCAGGCGTTGTAGTATAACATGATAATCGTGAGTCTTAAGCCCAGAAAATTTACCCCCACCTACGTTTGCACATTATCCGATATTTAAAGCATACCCATCTGGAAACTTTACAGAGGAAAGAAACTTTAAAAACTCTTTCCTCCTCTCCAATTTTACTGAAAAAAGAAGGTAGCCCCTTTCTGGTTATCTTACCCTCGTCATCCATAAATGTGGCCTTATTTTCATTCGCTCCAAATCGATGCGAGCTTCAATCGTGTCCTTCGTCTTTCCCTTTATGTCTAATATAGTTCCAACCAGTGTATCAAACATGTTCTTCTCAACATACATAACATTAAGGTTGTGGCACAGTTTCAGTTTGGACTAGTACGGCAACTCAAACAACATACTCTTGTGTGTCCAATTTAGATGGGTGTCTGGTTTGGTCTTATTTACTGATTTGCTGAACGGACCAAAATCCAAACGATTCAAGTGCTAAAATATTTTCTCCAGCCATTCTCTAGGTCTTAGTTGAATCTTTGCTCCTTCGAAGAATGTTGTCTTGTTCTGACGCCACTCGTGGTCCCATAGCAACCATCTACGATGCCCTAGTTAACAAACTTTCTCAGCACCAAGAAGACATTGTGTCTTCTTTGCAAACTGGGCAGGCCACCTTAGTACTTCACCCAAACATCATAGCATATGTAGGAAAATTGTTTATAGTCCACATCACTACTGAACATCCGCCCAGTTGATTTATCGTATGTCGAAACTCCGTTTTCTCACAAATTTTTCAACTCATCGACCAACGGCCGCAAATAAACATCGATAGACTTCCCAGATTCTCGGTTATCAACATAGTCATCATCATTTTTTTTTCATGCATTTCCAATGCAGCTCATTGTACGGAATTGCGAAGATTGGCCCAAGTGTTGTGGTTTTGGTTTAATACCCTGAACATATTAAATCCGTCTGTGGCCAGCCCCAATCTTACGTTCCGCAGCTCTCACGCAAAATCAGGGTACAAACAATCAAACTTTTTCCATGCATCACCATCAGCTGGATACCTTATCAAGTATCCACCCATATGTCTGGTGCGAGAATTACTTGACACTCAAATTAAACCCTCGTTTGACAATTGTAGTAGAATGGATAAGTGAGGGATCGTTCTAGACCGGGGATTAGGAGGGCTTGCTAAAACCTTCTAAATTGACTTAAGAACGTAAAAACAATATAAAACACTAAACTAGACTCAAAGAATGCAAAACTAAAATTTAAAACATTAAGACAAACCAAAAGACTCAAAACTAATTTTGGACGAATTTAAGATTATGGCTTGATTCAAAATACTTTAAAACATAAACTAAACAGATTCTAAGCACTAAAGAACAAGAAAGTAAAAGGGGGGGGGGGGAAAGTTTTGATTTGACGA